ACTGCTACTACTACTACTACTAATAATAATAATAGATTCTTTTTTATTTGCTTGCTAACCCAAAATCCCAAGGGCCAATTACAAAGAGAGAAAGTGAGAAAGAAACAAACACACATAAGGTATAAAAAAGTGCAATTTATATCATCTGAGTAATGATTATGATAATGAAATAATAATAATAGGTTTGCGTGATAAGAGTTTGTCACTAGAGAACGTCAGAAACCTATCAAATTTCAGAGTCCTATGTCAGAACGACGAGCCGATGCTGAAAAATTTTGTGAGCATTGGATAGTTGTCAGGCGCGACAGACTTCGTAACGCTCTAGAATAGAGGCCGGGGGGGGGGAGGGTAACACCCACGGAGGAGAATGTCACTGCAGATATTACACGAGAAGTCTCCTGTTGCTGTAGAGGCTAAATTTGTCCGGAGAACGTCAAACCTGTGGATGACTGGGTACTATTTTAGCATGGGAGAGATAGGAAATTCATAGCAGTTCGAAATCCTGAAGGGAATTGGTCACTTTGAAAATATAGGCACAGATGGGACGGTAATACTAAAATGCATTTATTGCCTGAAATCAGTTTTATATAAGCAAAACTTGGTTTGTGGTGTTAAAGAAAGAACACAGATGGAACATGTTTGAGAACAGGGTGCTGATGAGAATATTGGCACCAAAGAGGGAAGAAGCGACAGGAGGCTGGAGAACACTGCATAATGAGGAGCTTCATAACTTGTACCCTTCTCCAAGAACAATTAGAAAGATCAACTCAAGGAGGATAAAATGGGCATGACATGTAGCACACATGGGAATGAAGAGGAATAGATACAGGTTTTGGTGGTAAAGCTAGAAGGAAGAAGACCACCAGAAAAAGCAAGACGTAGGTGTGAGAATTTTTTATTATTTATTATTTTGCAGGGTTTCCTTTAGTCTCGAGGTGTAGGTGTCGTGCCTCGAGAAGAGCAAGTGTTTCCTTCCAGATCCTTTCTATTTAATTTCTCATCAGTCGTCCTAACATCCGACAATATGTAATATAGTTACTGACTGACACTTACTCATGGAGCTAAGGCTACGACATAGCTCAAGCTGTTAGTCACTGGCTTCCCACCGCTGCGACCCGGTTCGATCCCGGGTCTGGTCAAGTGGGATTTGTGGTGCACAAAGTGGCGCTGGTGCGGATTTTCTCCGAGTACTTCGGTTTCCCTTGCCAATCTTCATTCCACCAAATTCTCCATCATCATAATCACCCGGGGCAGGCTTACAGTAGGCCAATCAGTGGCCGCCGTGCCGAGTGGACCCATTTGGACTCCACCCACCACTAAGTGAATTTTAATTTACTCATGGAGCTGATCTCTTCTTGAGAAGCCGCCAATTCTGCAGCTACTCAAGAACTTTCCAGTATTTTATGGAACCCGAAGGTTCATTACCGTGTTCACAGGAGCCCTCCACTGCTCCCTATCCTGAGCCAAATCAATCCAATCCATACCATCCCATCCTGTCTCTCTAATATCCACTTTAATATTGTCGACCCATCTACGTCTTGTTCTTCCTAGTGGTCTCCTTCATTCCGGGTTTCCCACCAATATCCTCCCTGTATTCCTCCTCTCCACCATTCGTGCTACATGCCCTGTCCATTTCATCCTCCTTCACTTGATCATTCTAATTATACTTGGAGAAGAGTACAAGTTATGAAGCTAAACATTTGTGGATACAGATGTGAATTCAGGATACGTATTGACAAGTGCGGTAATTGAACATATAACATTTAAATTAGTTACGTTGAGAGACAACGTTAAGAATTAAGCTTCATCATACCTTAAAGCACTAATATTCTGAAAGATATTGTTTCATTTAGGTCGATTTTAGCACCCTCTCTTAGTGATGTAATACGGAAATTCTGCTATAAGTAAGACCTAACTCCATTGAGAAATTAAATAGTAGTAGACTCTTTCTCGAGAAACCAGTAGTCGTTCGGCTAGTCAAGAAATGCCTACTGATATATTGGGTTTTTGGACTTTATCCATCGTCCTGGTTTTTAAGATAACTAATAAAAACACGACGTTTCGGAAACTGGATCTGTTTCCAGTGACATCGGTTTGTCCAGTGATTGAGGCTAGCTCTTTCTAACGGACCCAACAGAATAGGCGTTTTCCTTCACCTGAGGACGGAAACAGATCCAGTTTCCGAAACGTCGTGTTTTTATTAGTTATCTTAAAAACCAGGACGATGGATAAAGTCCAAAAACCCAATATATCGGTGTGTTATACACCATCGTCAGAATCCTATAGTAACTACTTAAGAAATGCCTAGCCTGTCATAGAGTTAGAACGATCTTTACCGTGTTTACGAGTGTCTGCCACTGTCTCCTATCCTGAAACTGGTGAGTGCAGAACATATCCTCTTATTGTATTTAAGATATGTTTCTATAAGTTATTCTCACACACGTCTAGGTCACTCCTCACCTTCACTGCTACGCTTACGTCATAAGCAATGATATCTAGAGTGGCTACTTCATGGAATCAGTAAACTTTAATTTTATATTGACATTTCATTTGCGGATGTGTTCTCTACTGCAGTTTAAAATAAATGAAACCATATACAAAACATAACAGTGATTGATTTCATCGAACGTTGATTCGTTTGAGCAGTATTAATTTCTACTATATATCACACGCCACCAAACCGAACCCCTATAATTTAAACGTCTGTAGTATTTCATTTCATGAGTGATATATTAATTTAAAACGAACTGAAGCACATAAAGGTAAAAGTAAAGCTGTCCCTGTAACAGGTCGTGGACGCCCATAGGGTTGTGAGAGATCAGGGCTAGACAATCGACTCACAGATGACGGTGAGTTTGTCAGCCTTACTCGCCGGCCGCCCTTTACCCCCCCCGGAAGATTCCTGATACTCATTTCTGTTAGAGGCTGAGTCGACTCCAGGGCCATAGTGCGGCTGGAAGGATTAGGTCAATTGAAAAATCCAGTGACCTCATTTGGAAACGAACCTGTGACCTTCCGGCTTATAACATAGTGCCTCAACCAACTACGCTACCGCGTCACGTAATCTGCATAACTCATGGTTGTATCGAGTTATGTTCCGAAGTTGTTTAAGGCTAACAGGTTAATTCAACGAAAGAATCACATATTTTGTTAAATATAATTATACTGATCAAATATTGTATCATGGCTTCATTCTATCTTGTATTTCCATCTGTATTCATTTCCGGAAAAGTTATGCTGACAGAAATAATTACAGTGTAGAATGATTAAGTCAAAAATGGGTAGGGAATGTAGCGCGAATTGGAGTGAATATGAATGCATAGAGGAGATTGATGGGAAAACCATAAAAAGAAAGACCTATACATGAGTGGGAGGATAATATTAAAATGGATCTTGAAGAAATTAAGATGGTGTAGTATGGACTAGATCGATCTGGCTCAGAATAGCAGCCCGTTGACGGCTCCTCTAGACGCCTTCGGGTTTCATAAAATATTTTGTAACTATTGAGTTGCTGAGCGACTGTTAGCTTCTGAAATAGTTTCGGTTCTATGGAATTAGCTATTTAAGTAAGAAAACTTTCAAGAAAAAATTCCCTACCGTGTGTAGGTTAAAAGAGTTACCTATGCCTCTTAAACAAAAAATATATTATTATAAAATACGTAAATAAGTTATCATTAGAATTCATACAAGTTAATCTTCCGATAAACGTTTTGTCTCTCCATCTTTGGGTGCGACATCTCTTGTGCTGCATGAAATCCAAATAATATGTCTCTATTTGAGATTCATGTTACTATAAATTAATTTCGTACGCATGCAACGCGACGTACAAAGAACGTGTTACTTACCGGAACCTAGCATGAAGAGTGACACGAGTAATACCACCACAGTCTTGAAATTCAGTGAAGCTCTGCTGGAAGTGATTATGGCTTCCATTTTCCTCATGTGCTGCTGATTGTTGGAATCAGTCACGTGATGGCTTCCAATCAAGATTACTTTAAGAACTGAAAATGTAATATTCGTATTTTAATATTTTTATTACTACTAAGATTATTTAAACGAGATTTTAGAAATATTAAATTTAAATATTTATTTAAAACAAAATTTTTATCGTGAGAATATTCTCTTTATTTCAAGATATGAATTTTATTTTCAGATTAAATTTTATTAATTGTAATTTCATATGGATTCGATTTTATTAAATAATGAAATATTTAAATTTTTGTTTAATTTTAATTTCTTTGAAGTATACAACTAATATTTTGCAGTTATTTAGGATTTAGAAAAACTGCAATCAAAATATTCTTTACAAAAACCTTATCTAGATAAGCACAAGAAACTAATGTCAGTATACCTGTATTGTTGTGCTTATTTAATCCACTTACACCAAGTATAAATTGTAACTCACTGAACACACTTCCGTTACTAATAACAAATTGTTTACGTCATATAAGAAAAAGAGTAAAATATCACGTAAGAGGAAAATAAACTTTTAAAAATAAACTCTATTCTTTGTGCCGAGACAGGTCCTTTGTGAGTCACGTTAATTTTATTTCTTCCTTCTTGCGAGGACTGCCTTCAGTCTGACGTCGGTAATACAGCAATCGCCACTTCGCCGGCCGAGGCAGAAGGTATTCGATGTCCGAGTCACGACGCTGGGTACGAGCGACTGTGTCGCTCTTCGCGGCTCTCCGCACTGCTTCGCTACCCCCCACCCTCTCCCGCCAGCTCCCAGCTCCCGTTGGTTCCTCCCCAACAGCTGGAATGCACCTCCCTTATCTCAGATTATCACAGAATATACTGTAAAAATGGGTTGGATTTCAGCACAGAAATCTTGTTTATCTATACGGAAACGTGAGTTTGGATGTTACTAAAGCAAGGATTGGTTCGAAGCAACGTTTCAGTGCGAAAGGAATGTAGGAGCGAAGTTCTACACATGCAGGGTTATAGATCCTTATAGCGGTGACTATGAAAATCCATTGTATTCTGGAATGTGGCGCCATGTAGTCTGATGTTGGACCGTGCAGCATCCATCTTCAGGGTTGATGAGAAAGCCAAGCAAGAAATAATTACCAAGTAGTGTCTACTTTTCGACACTGAATATGGAGGCAGCATATTCTCCAGAAATTTCGGTAAACTTCTGCTAGAATACATGTTGTCGCATCTTGTAAAATAGTGTTTTTAAATAATAGACTTGTTTCAAGTCAGGCGTTTCATGAAAGAGTGACGACCGTTTGATGAACTGAAATTTATCTCACTTTATACACATTTAACTAACAAAGTCCACGCACAGATGTTTATGCATATGGCTTTCGACCCACAGATGATTTCGGCCTGAAGCCTATTGTTGTAGCATTCGCGAGCCTGATATCCCTCAACTTCTAACTCGAAGAGAGACTTCTGAAGGCCGCGCCATAGCTCAAGCGGTTAGTCGCTGGTTTCCCATCGCGGCGGCCCGGGTTCGGTCTGGGGTCTGGTCAAGTGCGATTTGTGGTGGACAAAATGGCGCTCGGGCAGGTTTTCTCCAAGTACTTCGGTTTACCCTGCCAATCTTCATTCCACCAATTGCTTCACAATCACCCTCACCTAACAACTGGGGCTGGTACAATAGGCCAGAAGTGGCCGCAGTACAAGGGACTTAGTCCCACCCCAGTAGCAATAAAAAAATAATAAGCCAAAATTTCAGTAAACATGAAATTTTTCGTGATTTTCGCAAATCGCATCATGTTATTTGCGATGTATACTTCAGACTTAATACAGATAACGGTAATTTCCTTCAGTATCGATTGCAACCGGTAGCCATAACCGCTGACTCTACTTACAAAACAGATTCCATTCAGAATATTTAAATAAACCCAAAACTCATATCAAAGTGAGAACAAAATAAACAGATTCTTTGCCGGGTTCCTTTTATCCACGGGTAAAGCGATAGAAGTGGTTCATATTATATATATATATATATGGCTTATTTAACAACATAGTTAATAACTGGGTGCTACATAGCTTCGAAGGTTAGTATGATTAATGAATTCGAGAGGATGAGAAGGGAAGTGGTCGTGGCTTACCTCATTGGTAATACTCGGTTTCAGGACTGAGATCTGAACTCACGATCTTTCGAAATCGAAGCTGAAATTCCAAGCTTTGGGCCTCTGTGTGTTCTAAAATATAAGGAAAAATGCACGTTTGACTTTATATATTGTGACGTATCGACCCGCTGTTAGGCAAGGACTAAGTATACACGTTCCAGCGAACACGCAACAGTGGGGGATGTGTTCTCTATGGACCATGCTACAGCTCGTTGCTATGTATCACAACAATTCTGACAAAAATAGAGGTGTTTTCTATGTGGTCTCCGCCATGCCCAGTGCTAGGAAACGGAGCAGTAAACACGAAACATTTATAGCAGGTGTTTTCTAAGTGGTTCGTGCCGCTATATAAGAAGAGTCTGTTTGTAGTCAGATAGGCTTAGAGAATTATATAGAACTGGGTAGAGTTCTGGAGGGTGGACATTCCACGACGATTGAATAAGAAATGACAAAAAGACTTCATAGTGATTTGAAGTGATTGTTTCTGCCTTGAGATCCGTTGCAGGAGACGGGTAACGTGTCTTAGTGATTTGTGAAGTGGGTAGATAAGCGATAGCGCTATATCGATTGTGAGTAAGAGATATTCTGAAAGATGTCAATAAATCCAGTCATCTAATCCAGAACCCGTTATTATTAGTCACGGAACCTCGAACACGTGACAATATGTTTGTGTGTTTGGTTGAATCGTAACTTCATGCAACGTAACTGAAAATTGAGGGGGGCACGAGGTAGCGTAGTTGGTTGAGGCACTATGCTACAAGCCGGAAGGTCGCTGGTTCAAGTCCCGTTGAGGTTATTGGATTTTTTTAATTGACCTAATCTTTCCAGACGGACTATGGGGTCGACTCAGCCTCACTGAAATGAGTACCAGGAATTAATTAAATAATTTTCCTAGGGAGTAAAGCGCGGCCGGCGCGTAAGACTGACACTCACAACCCTATGGGCCTTCACGGCCTGTTACAGGGATAGCTCTACTTTTTTACTTTTACTAACTGAAAATGAAAACTATGCTGATGGAGATATGTGTCCATTTTGTACTAAGTGTTTTGTATAACTTGTTATGATCCCACTGTAACGTCGTTAAGGGACGCACTGTGGGACAGATGCGCCCGCAGTTGGCTCTGTGCAAGAGGTTATGGGATATTTCACTTGCTGCTGTGTCTTTACGAGAGAAACAAAGGAAGGAGACAAAAGACTGCTACAGCATTAGTGCACATTATGCAAACAAACTGTCAGGATCCTGCAATGATTCTTAAGGCAGATATGGGAAGAAGTATGGCGCTTGTAAGAATATCACAAATATATTTAGAAACAAGTTTCAGGTAAACTGGGCTTAACTTAAGTAAATATTTATAAATTAAAAGATATTTATATCCATGAAAGTGCAATAGTACCGAAAGAACTGATGTAGCAGTAACGCTCTTAGCTATTACGCGGCAAGCTCTTCGGAACTCCACCAGGACACCTGATATCCTGAATAAAGATTTTTGTTTTTTCCTCAGTCCCTCAAAATAAGTTACGGGATATCTTGTTTAGACAACGACCACTTCCTTCCAAATCTCATTAATTCTTCATTAATCCCTCATCTCTTAATTCAAAGCTATATAGTCTAAATATTGACGTCATTCTTAAAAAACACACAAAAATGTAGGAACTGCTTTAATCTCTATAGCTTTTGAATTATTTTCTAAGGAAAGAGAAGTTAATGTTATATAATTCGGAATGACTACTGTTCATAATAATTTCAGAACAAAATATCTGGCTGTCATGCAAATGGTTGGCTAGGTAACGCCACACACCAGCCTTCTTATTTCTAATTTTCTGCCGTCAATAATCGCTACATGACTGTTGTAGGTACGCCAGTCCTTTTCTGGTTCCGGTTCCGGGCTCGTCTCATGGTGACCAACATCAACATTTCAATGACTCCTACTTTGGGAAATTTCTAGCATCTCATTTTGTTCAAGGAAACGCGACGTCACCGAGGAGGTTCGTCTAATATTAACGCTCTAAAATCGTGGGGGGGGGTGTTCGGTTCGAATCTCGGCCGTGACACCGTCAGTACTAGCTGAAGTTTTCCTCAGTCTTTCCATGTAAATTCTGAAATAGAACCTTGATTGATCCACGACCGCTGATTTCTCCCTCCAAACCACTTCACAGTTCACCAATCATCTTTCACTTGATATCTGATACTGTATAGTCTAACTACGCCGGTCACATGGCCGCGCGGTCTGAGACATGAACTGTCTTCGATCGCTCGAACACTGGGATCGTGGGTTCGAAACTCACTCAAGGCATGGATGTCTATGTATGCGTTTATTCTATGTTTTTGTTGTCCTGTGTGCGGGTAGCTGAGTTGTGTTGGGCTCATCCCCCGTCCAAGGAGTCCTACAGACTCTGTATAGGATTAAGATACTGAAGAAGAGGCCAGGGCCCAACAAAGGGCTGTAGGGCCATAAACGCATATTCTAGCTACTGACAGCATCGCAAAATGACCAACAAAATTACACAAATTTTGGACAAATCTCCTAGCTTGCCATGCTTCCTACTTTTGAACGAGAATGTCTCGTATGAACACAGCCGTAGAATGTCTGAAGGCCATGGTGAAGGAGCAATACATCACCACATGAAGGGCACGTCTGCAGTCCCGTTACAAGTCTGCTTGACCCAACCTGCCCTGCGCTGCCCTCTTTCAAGCTGGACCAACACTTTATTAAACAAACCTCTCCAGCGCAATCTGTAAGCGACGTGGACTGAGTTAACACATTGTTTCGTGTTTGTTACAACTTTGTTTCACTTTCAGGACGTTGATTGGGTGGGCCTTTTGTGTAAGTTCTCAGCTAAAAGGCTTTCACAGAAACTTGCCTAAAGATGACTTTCCACTGGAGGGTTCTTCTCTGTATTTTTATTAAGGTTTTGATTAGCGTCATGTCACGAACGGGCTATGTGTTTCAAACTGTTCATCTTTTAATAAGACTACAGGGTCATCGAAAAATATTCCTTGGATTTCATTGTTTAATGTGTCAACAAAATCGAGACATGTGATCATGACTTTTTGTTTGAATGTGTAAAAATTATCCAGGTTTTGTCCTTACACGTCTCGTTTGACGCTGCTGTCTCAGTGATTGTAACTTTATCTGCTCTGATAAAAGTTTACTAACGTCCCAGAGAAACGCACCACTTTCATCTTCAGGGCGAATATTAAGCCAAGCAGTAACCAGCAAGACACTGACAGCAAGCAGATTTTACTTTGCTGCCTGCTGGTTACATGTACCCTGAGGATGGAGGAAATTTTGTCCTCTGTAGCATGTATGAATGGGTATCGGACTATACGGCGTTACATTTCAGATGATACTACTCGTTATCACTAATTAATTACTCGTTAATTACTAATACATAGATATTAACTAGCTTTCTCGCATAGTTAAGACTGAAGAGTTTCATGGAAATATGTTCTCCCGAGAGATTCTAACTCGCGCGATGTCACGGCTATTCTCAGTTGAGGTCATGCCACAGTATAGTAACAATAGTGTCATAACCTTTAGAGACAAACCCTCATATTTAAATACTTTATGAA